TTTGTGGTCCACACATATTTAATTGTGTTTAAATTCATTGCCTGAATCACTGAGATAGTGTGAACTAGTCCTGGTGAAGAAAAAAATGTCATTCCCGGAAGTGAACACATAGCCCTAGATATAGTCTCTGTATGACTTTAGTCAATATATGTATGTAATAAGTACAATAATAATAATAGCTACAATTTACATTGCCCTTTAAGATTTGCAATGTATATATCTAATCTCATTTGAAACCCATCACCACCAGCAGCCCATGAGTTACATGTTAATATATCCTTGTTTGGAGATGTATATACATATATATATATGTATATGTATATGTATACATATATATGTATGTATATGTGTATATATATATATGTATGGGGAAACTGAGACTGAGAGATTAAGTGATTTGTCCAGACTGACATAACTAGGAAGTATCTGAGGCAAGATATGATCTTGTGTTTTCCTGAATCCAAGTCTGGTGCTCAGTCTACCACACCACCTACTTCCTTCTCATGTGCTCTGTGTACCCAACAGAGAATGAAAAGAAAGAATAGAGGCCTCAGAACTCTACCTTGGAGAATGCCTATAATTAGAAAGAAGACTAGTAAAGGAAATAGCTATCTCATCACTCCTGTCATTGTAGGATACTATAATTGTATTGATGTAGTCTAATTTCTCATTTGCTTGTATTCTGCCTCCTCATACTGGGGACTCATATGGAGGTCATAATCTATGAGAACCCCTAATTTTGGTGATTTTTTTTCTTGCTTATTAACTATGTCATCACGTCTGCCTTATATCATACTTAGGCTTTTTTTTTTTTAACCTAAGTACATGACTTAATGTGTATCTTACTTTTATCTTCAGAGTTTTATTCTACCATCCCAGCCAGGTGAAATCTTCTGGTATCTCAATTCAGTCATCTACCACTCGTCATTCTTCACAAATCTCCATCCTTTCCAAATTAAAGAAGCAAGTTGTATTACATAAAAGCAACAAACAAAAATTGGTTTTAAAATATATGCATCCATATTTTTTGCTTCAGATCTGGGATTTCACAAGTATGAGGACCTTCCAGTGTGATACATACTTCCACTGATGTAGGATGGGGAATTCATCTATAATTTATAGTCTTGAACAGTTGTCTGGGAAACTGCAAAGTTAAGCATCTTAACCACAGTCACAGTAATAGCCAATTAATGCGTGTCAGAGGCAAGACTTAAACCCAGGTCTTCCTGAAATTAGGGCCCACTATCTATTATGCCAATGCTGTCTTACTTAATGCTTATTTATACTTTTAAACTTAGGCATGACTTTAGTAGGTTTTTTTTAAAGGTATTACATATGGTGATTGTCTTGTGATGATGCAACCTTGATTTGATTGTTTAAGTCCATTTGTAAAATTAGATTACCTAACAATCAGGGAAAGAGTTTTAGTAATTCCTAGAAGTTCCCATTATTTGCAGGGCCAATTATTACTAAGTATCAATTTGTAGATTAACATGGAGTGCCATACCACGGTAAAGGCAACTCCTAATGCTAACTTATATTAAGGCTTATGCCAGGGATAATAATTTAAATTGCAAAAAATGATGAAATTGCTTTATTTAAACTACATAATTCATTTCCCTGGGTCAAATGTTAATTTTTCTTTACAAAACACCAAAGCTGTGATACTATTATCCTTATTGGTGATAATTCCTTAGTGCTTAGGGACATGAACAAAATTAGCATGGCTGTCCTGGAAAATAAAATGCTGATTCAATAACCTTTCCCCCACTTAGTTGGCCTTATTTTGCTGAATATGACACAGAACACGAAGAACGAGATACTCTGCTCTTCTGGCTACTTATCGGTTAGTTCTTGTAAAATAAACAGATACAGGAAGTTGGGGGAAAAATAAGCACTATTAGCCACAGTCTTCCCTTCTGATATAGATAAAGTAAGGCTTGCTTACCTCAATCCATGCTAAAAATACTGCTGAATGTTCATCCCAACCTCCCATAGTTACACAAGTTCACATGGTCAACAAAAGTTGTGCTGTGGTCATAGTGCTTCAATTTCTGTAAGACCATCATGGGACACCGTGTGACTGAGAAAACAATTATTGTGCCCTGCTGTATTTCCTATGGCCAAAAGTTCATTGACCAGAATGTCTGGTTTTCTGCTGAAGTTCTAACTGATAGCATAAGTGATGTTAAGAGAAAGTTCATGTGATCTCTAAGTATGTCTTTTCAACCTGGAAAAAAAAAGTCACTTTTAATGAAGCCAAAAAACACTGCCTGCCTGGGTTGATTGCATTGTTTTATTCAGCAGACCCTGAAGAATACCCATTAAACTGTCTTATAAAATCCTGGGGCACAATCATAGAGATGTCACAGATTTCTACACTTCATTTAACAAACATTTCTCAAGTGACTCATCTGTGTTGAGTGGTGCTAATTGCTGCAAGGGATACATAAATGAATAAGAGACATTTCCTAACTTCAAGAAGTTTACAGTCAAACTGAGTGGATGCTCAATACATTTTTGTGGGCTGAATGAATGCAAAAGTAACTATAATAACAGAGTTAAATTGAATAAGTCGCATAAGAAAGGTATTATAAAATATCAGAAGAATTCAGAGGAGGAAGAGATCAGTGTCAGCTTTTGGGGTGGGCAGTGCAGGGATAGTGTGAAAGTAAATCAAGAAAAGTGTCACAAAGAATATGACATGTGACCTGGACTTTTTGGGATGGGATGGATAGTCTATGCTACTCTGGCTAGGGGGGGAGAGGATGAGGAGAGACATTCTAAGCAAAAGGAACAGAATAACCAAAGGCAGAGACATAAGAGGGTTCCAGAAAACTCACCAAGATAGTTCAATCTGGCTAGATCCTTTACGTAAAGTAAAAATGGAAGGTAAGGTCAGAAAGTTAGATTGGGCTTCAAGGTTATATGCCCCCGTGACACATTTATAGTGAATATGGACAAGAGTTAACATAGGAAGGGCAGGTATGGATGGATTGTGGTCTGTGTTTTCAGACAAAGCGTGGAAATCAGTGAGATCACAGACTCATTGATGTAATTTAGCAAGGAATTGGATTTTATTCACTCATGCAATGCAGAGCCATTAAAGTGTTTTGGACAAAGGGAGTAATGCCATCAGATCTATGCAGTAAGAATATTCATACCCAGGTCATAGGATAGACTGGAAGGCTGAAAACATTTAGATTTTAGGTGAATGTTTTTATGTGAGTATGTAAGTAAACAGTGAAAATTCAGAGAAGAAATTTTGGTTGACAGAGGCTAAAATTCAAATATAATACTATCTGTACTTTTTTTTGCACAGTTATCTTGAAAATTACATATAAATTCTCATTCCTATTGGGGGAGCTCATGGAAAGGAGGGGAGGCTCTTTCCTTGGATCATTTTGTATGCATTTGCATATTCAATCACTGATTTATAGATATTTGTGATTTATGAAAGGCAGCAACATGGGGAGAGAACAGAGGGCTACGGAGTGGAAGAAGGGAGGGGGAACTTGGGACAGAGTAGAGAAATTGTTTCTCCAGGTTATAGCCCTCCCTAAACCTTTTTTCTTTCCCCAACTCTCATTCCCACCAGCTTGGATTGATTTTAGGTCCAGTCACATGTTTGGATTTAAACCATAGTAAACTAAGAAAATTGATGTTAGGGATCAGGTCCATTGTGGTCCTTTCAAAGAAACCTTGGGATTATGTATCATTATATAATTCCCAGTTGTAGTCCCCAACCACAGTCTCTGCATTTGGCCTGAATAGTCAAGTTTGAATCCTGGCTCAGCTACTTACTACCTGTGTGACCATGAGCACGGCCCTTCACTGTTCTCAGTCTCAGTTTTCAATCGATTTTAAAAGAAGGCAGGCTCAGATTAGATGATCAAGAAGCATCCTTCAAGTTCTAAATCTACTTTACTACCTGTGGTCCTATTATAAATATTACTTACCCTGGTAAATTTAATTTCTCAGAATAAATTACTCTAATAGTGTTACTTATGAAAATATCACTTTCAGATTTCAAGGTGCTAAATATGGCTTGGGGTAAGAAATCAGCTAATTATTGTTCATTTTGGTACATCCATTTTCAAGTGGCTAAACTATCGATGTTTACGTAACAGAAAATTGATTTCTAATCACTTTAAATATCAGATTAATTGCCTTTTATATACTGATTCAGGACAAATTATTGTTTCCTGAAATTTCTGGAAATCTGCTGTTTGGTACTGAAAGAAAAGGAGTTTATTGTTTTATGCTCCCTTTTCTACTTTACTATCAAATGCACAATTTTACTCCTGAGAGAGTCTTTGGAAAGTACTTTTCTTGAAAGGTAGACAGTACTAAATATAACATGAGAAAGCTAAAGGGTCAGAAGTATGATTCTCTATACTAATAAAAATTATTACTATAATCTTCTAAATTAGCATAAGGTCATAAGTCCAGAGCATGAAAGGGACTAGAATGGGATTTAAAAAAATTAGGTGAAGACAAGTCAAGATTTTAATAGAATGAAAAATGAAAACTGTAGTGCTGTTGATTGTGGGTGGCCCCTGCTATCAGATGAATTGTTGCTATGTCAGTGAAAGCATGAGCTGGGCTGCTGAAACATTTATAGGTTGGTGATCATTTCTGTGGCTTGATAAAAGCTATTTGTGAAGCTCTCATAGTATTAGTTAATATTGCATGTTTCAACAACTGTCTAAAATTTCCTGATTCTTTCCTATAAAATATGTCAAAATTGCAACGGGACTTTCTCAGAACATAAGTTTGCAATGGATCTTCCAAAATTCGATAAGTAGTTTTTACTTTCTGCTTCACTTTTTGTAAACCAAGAATAAAGTATCCTGTCAGAAAAATCAAAGGCTAATGCATTTTTTATTGAACTGAATTTGAGTATAGTTCTTTAGTGTATGATTCTTGCCCTTAGTCACTCACCATGCCACAATTTAACATTATTCTTTCTTTTCTTTTTTTTTTTCTTTTTTTTAAAGGAACTGGGCCTTGTCATTACTGGAACACTTCCTGTCTTCAACCTAACAGGCCAAGAGGAAAATAAAGGCAACATAAAGGTTAAAAGTTAATTAAGATTATTATTATTACTGATGATAATGGCTGAAAAAGTGTGACATTGAAGCTCACTATGGTTAAGATACTGGTGTGAGGAAGTACTCACATCATGACCATTTTCTGAGGACATAAACAAAGACTAAAAGTTGGTTGTCTGAGAAATGAGCAATTAATATCAGGTGCATATTGTTCTAAAAGTCACTGTCTTACATTGCTATACCTAATTGCAAACAATAAGAGCCAAATTTCAGATTCTGGGAAAAATACTAGCATGAGAAATAGGGCGATGATCATGTATGTGAGTTTGCAAAAGGAATCCAGGAAGCATCCATGGTCAGAGAGCATAGCAAATGGATAGTTGCCTGGATTAATGCCAGATAAAGTAATTGTATTTTTTTTTAAAAAAAATCATTCTTCATTTGTAATTCTAAAATGTCAGTTTAATTAGTAAGTTATGTCAGAGTTAGGGTTTTGACAATGATTTTTGTAGCCTTATAGAATGTTAGGGATCTGGCCTTCGAATAATCCAAACTGGCTGTGTGAACTCCAGCAAACCATTTAACCTCTTGGTGCCCCAGGTAACTCTCTAAGATGTTTAGTTGCATAGTAGGTGTTGATCTACATTGGTAGTGGGAATTTCGTCTTTGGGAGAGTTCACTAGGTGTTTGAAATTAGAGGTCTGGTCTCCCTCATTTTTATCCATTTGGTGAAAAGCAGGTAAACTTCATGGAAGTTCATTCTATTCCTTAGTCTTCATTAATGTTCTAACTATATTGAAATGTAGCATGTCTGAAATAATTTTAAAAGGTGTCAAACTTCTGCTGATGCAATATTTATTTATTCATTTATTTTTGAATAATGCTTTTTGCATAACAAAATTTGTTACAACCCCATCGGATTAACTGTGAAATGAATTCATTGCAGCTTTTAAGGCATTTATGAAGTTTTTTTTTAAGACAATGAATTCATGTGTAATCAATTTATTAATCACCTTTCAGAGTAGCATGGTTTCTTAGGTGCTGGGGGAGATAGAAAGATGAATAAGATAAATAATGGGTAATTTGGTCAATGCTCCTGATGGTGAAAAGGTATAAATTTTCTCTTCAGTTATAAGCATTATTTGCCTTTGATATATATTTGAGTCAAGTGAAACCCATAGGTTAATACAATAGTCATGAGGCTCATTACTACATTACATACACACACCCCACACACACTTTCTTCCTCCTTATGTGTCCTGGGAGAATTCCTGGGTACTTTACTTATGGAATAGCTTAGGGATTGCTTGTAACTTGACCTTTACTCAGCCTATTGAAATGCTTCCCCTTAACTTCCTCTCCCAAATCCTACTAATACTGGCATGTTGGGTTACCAGAGAGTAAGCACGACCTGTCCCTTTAAGGTTCCAGGGGTAGCTCAGACATGATAGGGGTGACTATTCTAAAGCTACAGCTCATGAATCACTATGAATATACTTTCCCCTGTTGATTTTAAGTTGAAATCAACTAGTTGGACAGACTTAGTTTGTAGAATGAGTTCTTACTAATGTGATATAACAAAAATAGCTGGTACAAGTCATTCTCCCTTAAAGTCTGTGTCACATCTTCCCACAAGTACATATAGAGTCCAGGGCAAAGTGGGCTCAGTATCAGAAAACTCATATAGCAAAGGATAATTTACAACTCAAGAAATTCTTTTTGCTGGGATGCTCAAGATAGTCTTCTTAGGTTTGGTTTAGTGTTTCTACCAGTCTTCTTGCAGAACCTTGAACCTGCCTTTGCACGGCATGAAAATACTGCCTTCAGCTCTTGCTGTCCCAGGGATGTTACCATGATACAAATGAAAAAGTCTAAATCTTCTGATCTGAAGCTCAGAAGGTCATCTTCCAACCAAGAGAGGCTAGGAGAAAATGTGACAGAAGCCAAGGCCAGGCCTCGAACTTCTCTCCTCCCTCTCCCCAAGTCAGAGACTTGCCAAAAAAGGCTTCTATTCTATGCTACCAGTATCCTGAAGCCTGCAGTCAGTCAATAAATATTTATTAAGTACCTACTATGTGCTAAGCACTGGAAATACAAAGAAAAGTAAAGGCCAGTCTCTAATTTCCAGGAGCTCACAGTTTAACGAAAGACAATATGCAAACTATGAACAAACAAGATTTATAGATAGAGATCTATAGATCTTTTTATTTACTACACATATCCATATACATGATATATCATAAATTGGAAATAATCAATCAACAAATAAATTGAGGGGAATTAAGATAAGCTTCTTATAGAAGATGGGATTTTAGCTAGGACATAAAGGAAGCCAGGGAACCCAGGAATCAGAGATGAGGATGGAGAACATTCTAGGCATGGAGGACAGTCAATGAAAATGCCCCAAGTCAGGAAATGGAGCAACATGTTCAAGATGGGTAGTGATAATGGATCTCAGAGTATGTATAGGATTGTAAGAAGGAAGAAGACAGTAATGGTGAGGGGAAGTTATGAAGGGTTTTGAATGCCAGAGGATTTTATATTTGATCCTGGAAATGGTAGCCCCTGTAGTTTATTGAATAGAGGATGACATGATTAGATCTGTGCTTTTAAAAAAGATCACTTTGATAGCTTAATGGAGGATGAACTAGAGTGTGATGAAATTTGTGGCAGTGAGACCATCCAGTCATCCACGCATGAGGGAATGTGGGCTATACCAGAATGGTGGCAGTTTCAGCAGAGAAAATGGGACTTATGAGAGAAATGTTATGAAGGTAAAAATCAATAGGCGTTGGCACCAGATTGGATATGGGAGGTAAGAAGAAGTGAGGGATCAAGAATGACACCTACAGCACGAACCTGTAACTGTGAAGAATAGTGGTAACATAAGTCCTTTAAAATTGTCTTGGTTTTGCATGACTGCACGTGTATAATCTATATAAAATTGCATGCTATCAAAGGATAAGGATAGAGTTGGGGGGAGGAAAATAACTTGGAACTTAAAAATTTTTTAAATGAATGTTATAAATATTTTTGCATGTAATTGGAAAAAAATTAAAATATTTAAGAATAATTGTACCCTCAATATTAAGAGGGAAATTAGAAAGAAGGGAAGGTTTCAAAGGAAAAGATAGCATGTTCAGTTTTGGACATGTTGAGTTAAAGATACCTATGGGACATCCAGTTCAAGATGCCCAGTAGGCAATTGGAGATGTGAGAGTAGAGGTCATCTGAAAGGTTAAGATTGCATAAGGAAAGTTAAGAATAATCAGTATAGAAATGACAATTGAACCCATGGGTGCTAATGAGATCACCAAGTGAAATATTATACATGGAGAAAAGACTAGAGCACCTGTGGGATATCCTTGGTTAGCAGATGTGACCTGGATAAAGATCCAGCAAAGTATACTGAGAAGGGATCATGTAAAGGAAAAATTAGGGGATAGGACTGTCACAAAAATCTAGAAAGTAGAGGGTGATTGACAGTGTCAAAGGCTGTGGAGAGGTCCGGAGGAACAAGAATTGAGAAAAGGCCATTAGAATTGGCAATTAAGAGATCAATGGTAACTTTGGAGAGAGCATTTTTCAGTGGAGTGATGAAATCCACAGCCAGGCAGTAAAGAGTTAAGAAGAGAATGAGAGAAAGTAAAGGGAAGGCCTGTATTGCAGATGGTCTTCTCAAAGAGATTAGCCAAAAAAAATGGAGGAGAGATGTGGAATGATGGCTAACAGAGATGGATGGATCAAGTGAAGTTTTTTTGAGAATAGGGGAGAGAGGGATGTGTTCTTAGGCAGTAAGGAAGCAGCCAGTGGACAGGGTGAGATTGAAGATAAGTGAGGGAGTGAGGGATAATAGGCCAGTATGGAATGGGATCATATCTGCTATTTTATACAAAACCCATATAACATAACTGATTTGTTCAAATCAAGTAAAACATACTTCCTATTTGATCTCACTCTATCCAGTAGATTTCAAGGACATCTAAATTGATCAAGGACATTTTCAAACTATGATTAATTAAATGGAGATGTGGTAAAGGTATAGCATCTTGTCACTTATTTAAGTAGATCTAGGTCACACAACCCCCTTGCTTACACTAGGTTCTGGTACCTGGTGCATAGGAGACTAGCAGTTACTTTATTCTTTTTTTCTATTTAATGGATAAAGATAGCATGATGTAATGGATAAAGAGTCTGCTCCAAAGACAGGAGGATTCTTTCTAGTTCTGCCTTTGACACATACTAGCCTCGTGGCCCAAGACTAGGCATATATAAAAAATATAAGTTGCAGAAAATGTGCTGACCTGCATTGGCAGAGCAGGTTTCTTCACCCAAGAGCTCCTTATACCAATGAGATCACAGGTCCAGTCCCTATCAGTCGCTGCCTGAATATTTTTAACCTACAGAAAAGATATTCCATAATTTCATATTACGACATTCTATTCCATTGTTTTATAATCATGTCAGGGAGATATTAATCATCAACCTGAATCCCTTTTGCTATTTTATCATTTGCATTTTTCTGTGGTAGTAAAAAGAATGTGGTAGCTGGTCATAGTCACTAAATTAATAAACCTTGTGTAATGTAGTGATGATAACAGTGTTCTTCTAGATGTCAGATGCTATATAACTGCTACCAAAAAAAAAAGTTTTCATGATAGTAAACCATACCCACATAATAAAATTAGCCAAAAAAAAGGTCATAAGTTGATACTTAAAAGACTCATTATGCATATGTGCCCAGCCTTCTATATAAGGGAACTCTTTGTAATTTAATAAGATTGGTCATTTAAAAGACAAGATTGAAAATGTATCATACTTTTTTTTTCTAATTAAGTTAAGCAAAAATTAAGCAAATAAATTAACTTTCTGAAATCTTCCACTAGAATCAGCTGATTCTTGGTGTGATGGGAGTCGATGTGTCTTTAGAAGATATCAAAAGACTTACACCACGCTTTACGGTAAGTTGAAGTTTTCTCCTTTTGGCCAGGCTTACCATGATGCCACTCAGTACAACACATTTATGTCCTTGTGTTAATTCCAGCACTCAAACCCAATCTCTAATCATTCAGTTCATTTGAATTGATATGCATACTTATTATGTGCATAGGGCACTTTGCTAAATACTACAGATAATATAAGGAAAAAGAAGTAAGAGTCCCTTATGTGTAAGCACTCTATAATCTAGTATTGTAGATAAGTGACAGCTAGATAGCACAGTGGATAAAGTGCTAGGCCTGGAGGCAGGAAGACTCAACGTCCTGAGTTCAAATTTGGCCTCAGTCATTTACTAGCAGTGTGATCCTGGACAAGTCCATTTAACCTTGTTTGTCCCAGTTCCTTATCTGTAAAATGAGCTGGAGAAGGAAATGGTAAACTAATCCAGTATCTTTGCCAAGAAAACTCCAAATGGGGTCATGAGGAGTAAGACATAACTAAAATAATTCAACAGCAGTAACAACATAGTTGATAAGACATTTATTTATATAGAATATAAATGTGTGCAAAATGCTATGAGAATTCAAATGAAGTGGAAAAGTGCTGTGGACTGAAGGATCAGAAATGGATTCATTGGTCATTTGAGCTGAACTTTGAAGGGTGGTTTAGATTTCAGTTAGCAGATATGGAAGACCCAGGATATTCTAAATGAAAGAACTAGCAGAAGCAAGTTATGGAAGTAATAAAGAGCTAGCTGTGTTCAAGGCTTGTTGAATGATCTGGTTTGAATAGAGCTAAAAGTTTAGAAAGATGGATATCACATAGGTTGGAGACAGTAGAGTACTTTAAAGGACAGCTGAAAAGTTTGTACTAAAATCAGGCAGTGGGGAGCTAGTGAAGGTTTTTTTCTGAAGGAAAAGGAAATTATCAGTGCTATGCACGAGGAATATTAATGTAGCACATTTATAAAAATACCTAACCACTAGAACTGGCCAAAACTATAATCAACTACCCCATGAGGACTACAATTCCCTTTCACTTGAAGAGATTAAAGCAGAGTCTGAATGTCAATTTTTAAAGGTTTTTACAGAGGATATTGGATACTTAAGAAAACAAAAACAAAAACCAGGACTAGATGATTCTCTGGTCCTATCTATAACTAAAGGTTTATGAAATCTAGATTGAACACTCAGAAGAGAGGCTGGGTCAGGAAATTAAGACGTGGGAGTCTTTTGAATAGATATGATACATGAATCTATGGGAATAGATAAGATCAACAAAGGAGAGAGTGTAGAGAAATATCTGACAGAAGTAGTCTGAGAACAGAGACTTGAGGGAGGAGGGTTGCTTATATTGAAGGGGTGGGAGAAGAATTAGATCCAACAAGAATTAACAGAGAAGTAGAAGGATTCAGGATAGTACAGTAAAATGAAGCCAAGAAGGGAAACAGTTTCAAGAAGGAGCGGGATGTTGGCAACCCGAAATGCTACAGAAAGGTCAAGGAAGATGAGGAATGAGAAAAGGCCATTTGGTTGGGAAAATGAGGTCATTAGTAACCTTCCAGAGAACAGTTTCATACAAAGGAGCATATGGAATGAAGGACATAGGGGTTATTTCATTTGCTGTGACAGGATAGAGGAAGATAGAGAAAAGTAGTGAGTTTTGAGAGGTTGAGGAAACTGTGGCAGATAGTCTCAGTTTACTCATTAACCATTAAGGTTATCTTCTAAGATTGATGCAAGCCACTTGGAATATAGACTTGAGGAGACTGGAAATGTTTAGAACAGCAATTGTGGGGATTAAAGGAACAGAAAATTTGCTGAGGAGCAATAATTTAAATAACATTAGGGCTGTAGTAAATTGTATCAATACTAGGAAAATGCCCATGGACACCAATACCACCTCTACTTCCAGAGTAACTAAGCAGTCATCAACATATCTTCTTTTTGCTAATTAGTTTGACTCATTTGCAAAGAAGTTCCCTGGAAATGATTCCTGAACTGTAGGTATTTATCAGACAGCATGATTCAAGAGCAAAACATAAACCAAAATTGTTTGTTTTTTATTTGAGAAGCCTTTTATACCAAAGGATAAAAACTAGCATATTTAATAATACAATATTTCTTGCATTGCATTCTTGGTCTCGAAAACATTTAGATCAGATATTCTTAGCCTAGAGTCCATGAACCTCTTACAAAATATCTTGATAACCCTATTTCAATATAATTGGTTTCCTTTATAATCCTAAGTGTTTTATTTTATACATTTAAAATTTTTAGGCTTCTGTAGACTTCATTAGATTACCAAAGTGGTCCATAACATAAAAAAGATTAAGAACTCCTGATTTTTAGCATGTTCTAGAAATCTCTGGCTCTTTGTTTCATCCATGAAACTACCAATAATAAAACAATACTGCTCAATGATAAATAGGGAAGATACTTAAGAGTTGTTATTCACTATGACATAAACATTTATGTACCTATTAGACATTTAACTATGTGACATTCATTTAATTTTCTTCTTTCAGCTCTGTCCAAATGGTTATTATTTTGCAATTGATCCTAATGGCTATGTGTTGCTACATCCTAATCTTCAGCCAAAGGTATGAAAATTTTATCTGTTCAGAAATTAAATAATTGTGTTAAAATTCCCATTTTAAGTCTAATATCATATCTATGAATTTATCATATTTCCCTGCATATAAAGAACAAAGAAAAGAAAACATGTTAGTTGGCATCAGGAAAATAATCTTACCGAATATGGATGTCCCAAAAGTCTCAGTCAGTTTTAAGTTTTAATAACTTTAGAAGTACAAATGCTCCAAGCTTAAAGCAACGTTTGAAAGATGATTTCCAATGTTAAAATACTAACAGAATTCTTACAAAAATTCAACACAACCACTGCCTTGTCCTGTAGATCACACTAATCAGTTTTTAACTTTGTAAAAATTTTCATCAGCCATTGTTCAGGTACTGAAAGGATTGCTTTTGTAATGTTAGCTTCAAAATCTTCCAGAGAATGAGGTTCTGAAACATACATGACAGTTTCTCCATGAGACCACAAGAAAAAAGCCTAGATAGACCAGTTTGAGTGAAGTGGCCAAGCAAGAGGACCTTCTCTACCAATCTACCAGACTGGGAAAGTGTCATCCAGAAATGTCAAACATACAATGCACAACGACATGGTCCTTCTTCTTAAAATTGAAAATTTATTCAAAATTTATAAAACTAAACAATTTAACAAATTTTAAATGATATTTTTGTACATTTGTGTTATTTATACTTCTGATGTTATTAAAGCTTAAATCTGAACTAAAACTTTTAGGATACCCTATATGGTATGAAAGCAAATTCTGTATTTTAATTTTTCTCTCACAAATTTGGTAAACCCTTCATCATTCATGCCTATTGATTCCGATTATCTTTCAAATTCCCTTGGCTTATCTCAGCCTCTGAGTAGGACTCTATTATAGGAAGATAGTATATTATAGAAACAAAGTAAACACTTCATAAATATTAATAATGTTTTCCTTGGGTCTCTTCAGTGCTTCCCACTACTCTGCTATTCAGATCACAGTTCAATCCATCTCACAGATTTTTTTGTCACTGGCTTCTCATGAATCCTTAAAAGAGAAGTAGAATTCAGTTATTAGAGGGCACGATGTAGGAGTGAGTAAAGTTTATGACTCAGGACAAGTGCTTCTCATAAGTAGAAAGATATTCTCTGGAAGGGAGTTGACTGAGCAGTTAGGGTTCATTTACTATACCTTAGTCCCTTCTAGCCCAAATCTTCTTATTCTCCATTTTTATAGCAAATAAAACTTCTGACACATTTAGCATTTCTTACTAGTTAACAGATTAGAATTTATTTTTCTAGTCAAAATCTTCCATGTTAATTCAATATTTTATCTCCCCCCCTCCTTTTGCATTTATGTTAATCCTTTAAGCATCCTTCTCTTGACTTATTATATTTTTTAATTTACGTTTTTACTAGTTTGGAATAATATGATGTAGCATCTAACCACTGCATGATATCACTTTACATTTTTTTAAATAAAATATAAACTTCTCCCTCAAGTTAGTTTTAAAAAGTAATTTTGCATCATTTTCTTTAGGGCATTGGTAGAATACAAGCAATTGCATGTGATTGACAGGAAATTATGAACTCACAACAGATGCTAATTCCTGCCAGACTTCTGCTCTCAATCCTCTCTGTAACCACCAAAATAGGGTACTATGTTCCCTCTGACTTCTGCAACAATTTCTATGAGATAAACAAGAGTGTACCATATCCAAAAATGTGAGCACATTACTTTTTAGAGGCAGAGAGTGAGAGAAGAGAGAGAGGCTTTGGTAGGAAAATGTTCCATTTAGAAAAGACTTCTGTATGTTTGTTTCCCTTAATAGCATAGGACTCTAAATTTATAATTGCTAGTTCACTTGTAGGAGATGAAATTTACCCAGCAGCAAGCTTTTTGTTTCCTTTATCCAGGTCATGAACCAGGGGGCCTGGAGAAGGAATGTTCTTTATCAGCCTAAAGACTCGAGGGCATAGGCTACTTAGGAATAAAGTTTTCACCAAGGACAGTTTTTCATTCAGTACTAGTCAGGAGATACCATCTGGCAGACTCATAACAAGAGGATTTCCAGCATTAGATGTCAAAGTTATGTTAGAAAATGACTGGCATTGTAGGAAAGGCCCAGTGCGATGCCAATCTGTGCAGTTGCTCCTGAACCATCTATAAGCCAAGATTCCATGCCCTGCCTGTCACGGAAGAGGAAGTAGTAGAAGGCTGTAGTGGACAGGTGAAGTGGAAAAGTTCTTGCATTCAAGTGATTCTCCTCAAACTCTCGAAAGATCATGTCAGACAAGATGGCAGTCAACAATCAACCATAATCATATGCTTAAAAATTTTAACAGAATTATTGTTTCTTCTATTAGAATAGAAAGGTTGTTGGCATAGTGGATAGAGAACTGGTCTTGACTTCAGGTCTCGCTGACACATACTGGCTATGTGACCCTATGAAAGTCCCCTAAGTTTTCAGGGCTCTAAACAAATCTCTAAGACTGAAAATTTCAGAGGAGCTGAACTCTACTAGCATAGGGAGTTCCCTATACCACTGAAATCAAAGATCTATTATAATGCAATAATAATTAATGCTTATTAACTAATAAATCCTCATTTTAATTTTAAAATATAATGCAAAATACTTCCTGTTAGAACTAAATTAGGTTATGATTATTTATACTGTTAAGATGACTAGCTTTATAATTTTAACAGTTTATAATATTTCCTAAAGCAACAAATTGTGCCAAATGAATACCACAAATTCTTTTTTTTTTAATGAATTATTTAAAAATATATTCACCTACTGCATTTAAATTGCAGTCTGGGCTACATTTTTATTCACAATACTACCAACGTGGCACAGTTCTTGAATAATCCAGTTCATTAGGATTGCAAGTGATCTCTCATCTTATCAATGTGGATATTCCTTCCAACACTGCAGCTCAGGCCTCATGCATGCCTTACCACCCAGGAATCTCAAACAGCCTAGTGAAAGGTTGCTAGCATATTGGTATGTTATTCTTTGGGAATTATGGGAATATATGAGCAAAAATTCATTTTAATCTCATTGTTTACCTATTATAAAAACGTTATTGTTCTTGTCACAAAATATATCATTTAGTTTTTTGCATATTTGATTCTATAGTACAATCTGTAACTATTCAGTCATTGTTTATCAAGATCAAATGTCACGTACTCATTCCAAATTAAAATGATTTAAGAGAAATGAAATTTAGAGACGAGTTTGTGGAAAAATGTATCTAGAATTCCAGATCCCTTCAGGCCTTACCAAAATTAAGATTGAACTATAGACATCAAGACATCACTAGATCCCTTTCCTTGTGTGGGCATTATGGAAATCACTCTATTTGTCCTGTGGGACAAAAGAAAATCCAAGCAGTTGTCTTGAAAATGAAATAATTTAAAAATCACCACCTTTCTGTTTCTGCAACAACAACAACAATAAAACTTATCCAACAAGAGACGATGTAGAAAATATATCATTGCTTGCAAACATTTCAGTATGTATTATGCCTGTATTATGATATTCCCTTTAACCAGTTATTTAAATTATCATAAATTGAAGCAGTATTTCAGGCCACTGTATTTAATTTAATATAACTTTAAATAAAAAGGTACTGTGAAGACTAAAGTGCATAGAATTGTTCCTAATGTATTCTTTTCTCCTAAAGATGTTTCTAAAATAACACATTAAGTATGCTTTTGAATTTTTTGTTATTAACAGGTCAAATATTATGGTTGCCATTTGGTTGATGCATGCTATACAGATTGATACAAGAAACTTCTTAAACTGTGGTATAGTGTAAGACATCTAAATAGACCATTTCAGTTTAATCAAATCTAATATTAAACCTAGATAGATATTATATCATCGAACACACTAACTCAACTAATCTCAACCTTTGTCAGAAATTCATCATTAATAGAGATAAAGCAGAATATAGCCAATATGTAACCTCTGTAAGATACGGTTGTATGTCCTTTAAAGGGTGTCTAATGCTGTGTGCTCTCTGTTTTCTTCCTGAGAAGACATAATCCGAATTTTAAACAAAATTGTCAAAAACATTGAAGTTGTTGAGGAGAAGATGGTGGCCAAGTACCCTTTTAAAAAGTATAAATATCAGTGAATAGAGATAGCTCTAATCTTCATTAGTGTATTTCTTACTGCCTTGTGTATCGCACTTTGTATCTTTTGCATTCTGGTCTCAAGTGTTTCTTTAAGTACAATGATTTCATTAATCTCTGGATCCAATCTAGTAATAATGTCCTGATTTAATCAATTCTAGGAAGGAATTCAGGAATTAAGGTAAAATACATGAAACCAACTTATTAATTATCTCCTCATTTCTTCTCTATTAAATCTTGGAAGGATAAACAAAAGTCATGAGTTTCCATTGATTTTAAAAGGAATTTTTTAGAACCCTAAAATTTTAATTTAAATTTTCATGGATCATGTAAACCCCAGCTATAAGTAATTTCATGCTGAATCTGGGAGCTATAGCTGCAAAGATTTCTGAAAAAGAGACCACCATCTCTCTACATGCATGTATTTTAAATCCAGGGAAAACATAAATCAGACAATTTTGTATAGAAAGAATTAGAATTCTGCATTTTTTCTAGTAACATTTTCCCCCACAGTAACTAAAGACATCTTTTTAGCTTTCATTTGTCCAGGTTGGGCTTTCTTTGGTGGTTACAAAATACTCACAACTATCAGTTCAGAAGGAATTTCTCACTCCTAGGAAAATGCCATTAGGAGAAAAAGTTAAAGTTTCCTCATGAGAGTGTAAAACCTTCATTTGCTAAAGCATAAAATTATAAATTGCTACTTTTTGTTGCTTCAGCCTATTGGTGTAGGTATACCAACAGTTAATTTAAGAAAAAGAAGGCCCAATGTTCAGGTAACTCTGATAGAAGGTAGTTATTAGTGCTTTAAGCTATGCTAAACTATAGCAAAAATTAAGCTTTTATTCCCAGAAGCTTCCAAGTGTTGAATGAGAAGGCTGTTTATT